TTCGGTCTATCGAAATTAGTCTACCACCTCTCTCTCATTCACTTTCGCTCAATTTATGTCCGTGGAGAGCCGAACTGTACGTTTTCTGGTCTCTATGTCGGATAAAAAATGGGGAGTTGGAGACAGAGCAGTATGGGAATACCACTGGGAACCCGTCATGTTCCTAGTTTACGCTACAAGCAGACAAATATGAGCAACGTCAGCAGTATCCTGTATGCCAGCAGGCTGGCTGTGTTTTATATAAAGGACTACACAAGAAGACACAGACTTCGTTCCGCACCCACGTTCAACTGGTACACTATCTGCTGGCGTCAAACCCTGAAGCACAAACGGTATTCGAGTTACAGTTCGGATATGAACGAAGAGCTCAGTGAACGTGAATAACGAGCAACGGCTAGCGGGGGCTAAACAGTCGGAGGGAAGGAAAAAAATAACAAAGCATGGGCCTATAAAGTACACTGGCTGAAGGCACTCGAGAATGCGGTGTGCCAGATTGATTAGTGAATGCATGTGTGTGTGTGTGTGTGCATGTACATGTGCGTGTGTATGCGCATGGGTCAACAGCAGGATCACATAATTAATTCGCTTGTAGAGACGGATCATGACAGTAGGCTGGGAGAGTGGAGCGAAGGGAACACACCTAACTCCCTTTCAAGCGAGCGCGCATGCATAATTAGAAGGCCCAGATAGTGTGCTCGCTCCTTTTCGACCCTGATATCTGCATACATATTCAGTATCCTGCTCGTGGGGGTACATACACACCCCGTAGGCAGGACGAATTAGGCACAGATGGTAATTAAACGCCAACATCAAGTTGTGTTGGAAGGAAAAAATTCGGGCAGAAAGGAGAAAGCAAGAATGCAGTGAACGCGAAAAAACCAGGATCACAAAAAGTAATCGTTGAAGCGAAGTATTCGAATTATCTAAACTTTTAACTGAGTAAGAAGTCTGAGATCTCCAGAAAGGACGTGAGCAATGGAAAAGTAACCCTTAGGTTGTTCAGAATTTTTACTGTACAGGGATTCACCCTTGAAGGGGGTAAAACACCGAATAGTTTCACAGGAGGGCAAGAGTGTAGTGGACCTAGGAAGCATGTTTAGCAGAACCAAGCTGCTCTCCACATAATGAAGAGCGGAATTCCTCTCCTCATGTCCTCCTGCTAGAGGTAAAGGCACAGCAGCACTCAACGACATGAACAGACATTAAGTGCAGGATAAATAAGGTTTCATCTAGTTGCCGGTAGCGAAAGCAGATAATATTTCAGATACAAGGTTTAACGATAGGCGCAATTGTTGAGTGAAAACAAGTCTGAACTACACTGACAGAACTTAATTCTTTATCCCAAAAAGGCGAGAAAATGCAAAGTAACCTTTGGCGTCGAGTTTGCATAGGGATTCACAGGCGTGTTCAGGTCATTCTCTTTAGCTGTGTTTTCAATCTGCTTCTGAAGATCTTGGATCTTCTGCCCGTTTTGGCCTTCCTCGTGCATCTTCACCTCGAATTTCTTGTGGGCTTCCAGAAGAGCCTAGAGGGGCAGAAACGTACAGATCAGAAGTACAGGTGGCCGATTAATGTGCCCCCAAAATCACACACTGAACACAAAAATACAAAGGCATGGGGTGCATGTGATCTACGAAAGCCCCTAACAAAGGACACTTACGTAGCATTACGTGGTCTAAAATGAAACTAACTAGCAAAATATGTTTGTCTATTTTTAAATGGTGTAAGAATTGGAGAAACATGTAAGTTGTAGTTATGGTGAAGTAACGAGTGAACGCACCTCGACCTCCTCCGTAGACCGCGCAATGAAGGTATCTCGGAGATCCTCCTCAGCCTGTTGCATCCAATTGCTGAAGGGCTGCCGAACAGAAAAACAAAAGAAAGGATATGTGAAAATTTACAGCGCCGCATGGAGCCAAGAGGTGCTGTTTTGAGGAAAACGAATTTCGAGATCCCTCTGCCACGGGTTCCTCTAAACGGGTTCTGGTTTTACCCGACAATATAGGACAAAATACTTCACGAAAAACGGTTTGTGGAAGCAAGGTAGCGCAGCGTTATACGAAATTCTGCACAAACTGTACTTGTAGGCAGAAAAGAACGATGTATACAACATTTGTATGAAAAAGATGTGCCCCAAAAGAACGAAAAAGTGCTTGCTTGTGAGATGTTAAGGTCAGATTGAACAGGATTGCAACCATGAAGAAACAAGTGCACAGTTGCACTTTCTTTTTCCGAAGTGCTAGCTCCTCTAGGGTCCCGTTTGAGCAAAATCGGGTGGCCGGTTGATGGTCGTGCATGATGTAGAAAGATTGGGACACATCTGTGGTAACGCCCCTAACTGACCACACTGAAAATAGGTTACATGATACATCAGGCTGACAACGCAGGTACTACTGACAGCGCAAGCATGTGCTTCTTCGATTTTCCGCCGCTTTATGATACAGGTGTGAGGGGGTTCAACCATTAGTGAGTCGCTCAGCCTTTCAGTGTGCTTTCTGGAAGATACTCCAATTTTCAAATTGCAGCTTTTTAAGCACTATCTTGGACTATATCAGTCGGAATTAAGCTTTCTGGACTCAGTTTAAAAGCTGACATTAATATTTGAGCCACAGTCTAAGAGCCACCGCGGGATTACCGCGTAATAGTCTTAAACTGGGAGACGATTTGAACGCCCCTTCTTTGTGTCAAACGGGCAAGTGAAAATGGTGCTCACCCTGTTGGTGCTGGTGGTTGTCATCATCAACTTTTATTGTCACTTAGAACTGGCTTTTACATATTTGAGCTTTGTTAAAATAACATACCGCCGCATTCTTGGCGATTTCCAGTTGTAGGGAGTCAATGGTTTCATAAGCAGCAACGGCTTTCTAGTAAAAAAGAAAGAATAATACGTCAGTATTTGAAAGAAAAATAGGGGCTTTATGATATTCTACATAGAACAGAGTAAAACGATAGGCTAATTCATGGGCAATCAAGTAAATATAACTTGCAGAAAAGCCAACGAGTATGCATTCAGAAAGCAGATCAAGTGGAAACCGGAGGCAAAATGATACTTGACAAGCCGAGAAAAGCCCACTTACAGTTAGATTCGTTCGTCTTTCTTCAAATAGTCGCTTCAAATCATCCCATGTGCTGTGGACTTTGTCGTAACGCCCCTTCACGGTCGGCATATCATGATATCCATACTTCCTTTAAAAAACATAGATATAAATGTATAGACGTAAGTGTTATTTCGTGACATGAAGAGCTCCAAGCATATGCAGGGATTTTTTCCGACATGCACTCAGTATTACGCAGTCCCCTTGGTGTCGCAATAAAAAATCGCTTTGCAAAGAAAGCAAAACTGAAGCAAAGCAAAAAACCAACCATTGGTGTGTTGTGACGCACCAAATAAATTTATAAATTATTAAAATGTTAATGAGCAAAGCCGATTTCCAAAACGCAACTTTATCTTACTTCTTTTTAAACAAGTTCATAAAAGATCTCCAAGTAAGTTTAACATGTCATGTCACATTCCTTGACTTGGAAAAAGGATGATGTTGACTTTTGTCTGTACGTGTCCTTCGCCCTCAGATCGGTAGAGCAGCAAACTATTAGTAAAAACCGGTCGTAAGTAGTAAAAAAAATAAAACAACTCCTGGAGGAAGCATATGATTCCCAGTAGCTAAAGGACGCAACTCTCATCACATGCACACAAATGCATAAGCAAGTGAAGACGCGAGCAAACTGCTGAAGGCCACAACAAAGCAGTTGGAAAGCACTTTGGTCTTAGACGGTCTTCAGACGGTGCATGTCCAGATACGAGCACGGTACAACGCGAGGTGTGCTGAAACTTCCTGATCCCACCACGAGGAAGTCGGTTGTGAATAAATATTATGCCTTGAAAGTGATGCCAGCACGTGTTCATGGAGAGGTGCTGGAAAATGTTTTCTTTACTCATAAGGTTTGAGGCTGCTTCCAGCTGTGTTCGTTTGAACTTGAAGTTCGTCAAACCAAAAATCAAATGAATTCGTTTCAGGCTTGATATAGGACAACAGAAATGCAGTATTTAACACAACCCTGGCCTACTGCTCCGTGCGTATTCAGTCAACAACCTTACCTCAAACAGGCAAAGAGCTGGAGGGGAGGAGGAAACAGTCATACATGATGACGATAATATTAGTAAATCTGAGTAGCAAAGAGTATTCGTCGAATACGAGGGTAAGATGATCAATCAAAAGTTATGCGACAGTAACTACTTGACTTACTCCAACTCTGCAGCAAGAGCTTCGATGCGCATTATACGCTCATTTTGGGCGGTCAAGTCTGAGTCGAAGGCCTCAAGTTTTTTCAGCATTGGTCGCACCTCTGCAATATTTCCATTCTTATAGTCGGTCGATGTGAGGCTTTCCTGTTTGCCCTCGGCCCAGGCTTCGAATGTCGTACACTTGACGTTAAATCGGCGTATCAAATGATCGAGGTTCTGCGTGCGTTTCAGCTCGTTTACAAGCCACTCCTTTAAAGGAAAAACACGATTTTGTATGATGAGAAAATTTAGCTCATAAGAAAACCTGGGTTTTGGCAAAGAATCATTGCAAAGTTCTGGAAAGTCCCTTCTGTAGACATTCCAAAATACTGTGTACGATAGCAAACTGACAACCTCAAAATTATGAGCACACTGTTTGGATGGTCAAGCCAAGTCCACTAAAAACTTTATATGGGCAATAATTTACATGTGAGGTGAAACGGAATAGTACTTCGAAAATCGTTTGTGAATAATTAACGTCAACCTAGATTTACAGACGAAGGATTTCTTATTTCGATGAAGTGCTTATGACCCATCTGATAGACACCAGTGGTGGACCAAC